ACACACACACACACACACACACACACACACACACACACACACACACACACACACATTCTCCTGTCTATCGATGGGGAGCGCCACCTGCTGGAAACTGGGTCCAGCGGCCCATGAACATCGTGAATAAACCACCAACCGGGACCCCACACACACTCTCTTCGAGTTGTGTATAGCGAACATGACAAAACATACATGCAGTATAATCACTACCTTACCCTTCCCGAACCACATCAACAAACGAACTACGGGCTGCGCACCCGTGCCCTCACAGTAAGTCAATAGTACTGTAAGGTATATATATAAAAAAAAACGTTGAAAGGAATGAAACCACAAATTAGAATTGCAAAAGAAAAAGAGGAAAGTTCAGCTTAAATTACTTAGTGTCAGTAGCGGCTTTGCTAAACACAAATATGATAGGTGATGTGAAAACCACCCTCTCTCTCTCTCTCTGTGAGAGCTACTACATTTTTGGTGCATTGATTATTGGAGGCAAGAAGTTGGCTTTCTTGGTCGAGAGACTTCCGTGTTCGGTGTGCTCACGGCTTTGTAATTCTGCTGCATGTTCTGCAACGAGTCTTTTGCAGCCTGAAAATTTTCAGTTCTCAACTTGTCAAATGTGTACAATCATTTCCTCACCTTCTTCTTGTTTCAATGTGTTTGTCGCTTTTTTTTCATCTTCTCAGGGAGTAAAAGTTGTTCTTGATAAGGATGGGCCAAGCATCGCAAGAATTTGTGTCTACGATGTAAGTCAAGGAATTTTGGATTTTCCAAGTTTTTCTTTTTCTGGAAGTTTCTAGAGAACGAACTTCCACAAACTTCAACGCAGCCAGTAAGGTCAAATAAGCCGGAAAATTGAGAGAATGCAAATGTCTCTTTTCTCATCTCACTATGGTCTCATACCACACATACCATACTTGCAGCACAATTCTGCGGTGCACCGAGCGGTGCGCATGCGCCATGCGCCATGCGCAAATTATGATGCGCTCAATTTTTATTTTTTATTTTTCAATTTTTTCTTAGGGGTATGTGTGTATACGGGGGTGGGGGTGGGGGTGGGGGAAGAGAGAGAGAGAGAGAGAGAGAGAGAGAGAGAGAGAGAGAGAGAGAGAGAGAGAGAGAGAGAGNGAGAGAGAGAGAGAGAGAGAGAGAGAGAGAGAGAGAGAGAGAGAGAGAGAGAGAGAGAGAGAGAGAGAGAGAGAGAGAGAGAGAGCAGCGGATCGCCTTAGCACGGCTCAGAGGGCTCATGCAGGCAATCGGGAGGGTCCTCGCAGCAATAAAGCGCAGACCCTCGACCAAATTCGAGGCAGGCAGTGAGTATGAAGTAGAGCACGAGCTGGCCGAATATATACTCAGGATTCAAATTCAGGTCTGTGTTTCAGCAGTTATGGGTTGCTCACATAGCTAGGCCGTGTTGGTCTCTGCACGTGATTCTCAGGGCTTGGCTGCACTACTCACGGAATGTGCAAAATTAGAATGAATCTTCTGCAGAACGTGGAATAATACACCGCCATATGTTTTGTCTTTTGTGCATGTGGTGAGTAGAGGCCCTTAGGGCCACTGCACGTATTAAGAAAAGAAGACGAGATAAAAGAGAAATAGTGACCCATAACGGAGATGCACAGACCTGAATTTGAATCCAGACTATATATTCTTTGCTCTCGCTGGCAAGTGGAAGTTTGAAGTTCACCTCTGGTGCACGTGGGGTCCTAGCTAATTCGCTGTAAGGGCCCTTTGGAAAAGAGGCTGGACACAATAAGGACATGAATTGTTGCATGCCTATACATGTGCCCACAGTTTTGGGGTATGGCGTGGCCCTGACTTTTCTCCCTCTTGCTTTCTGATTTTTAGAAGTGAGGGGAGTGTTTTGGCCACCCCACCCTGAACTTCCTTTTTCTTTTTTTTTTTTTTTGATGCGCCGCATGTGCCGCTCCCCCGCGCATGGGATGTGCCGCAAGTATGTCTCATACCCTTGCAAACCTTGCACAACCCTGTGCCCAAGCCTGAGGACAGCCAGTCCATACCTGATGTCGCGCTGAGAGGTGGGCTTTAGGTTCAGTGCAGGTGCCAGGAGACATTGCACCAATAAACCTTTCCAGAATTTTTTTTTATTTTTATTTTTTTAAACAGGCCCTTACGGTCCTGGCTCCATTTCCATTCTGGGGAGCATCAGTCCGGTTCCTGGGATTTTGAATTGGGTAATTTAGTAATATAACTGGATTTCAGCTGTGCTTACCAGACACTGCAAGTGAGCTGGGTGTGTTCATGTGATGCACCGCATGCACTGAACTAATGCAGTGCGTCTGATGCACGCGCACAGGGAATGAAAAAAATGTATTTCTAGGAAAAAACTGTCATCATTATGATGTAAAACAGTGAAACATGATTTCAAGGCTTCAAGCAACATTTGGCTGGGATGAGCACACACTTTATATCTTCTTTCTCTGTCTCTGTCTATGTCTCTGTGTCTCTGTGTGTCTGTCTGTCTGTCTCTGTCTGTCTCTCTCTGTCTGTCTCTGTCTCTGTCTCTGTCTCTGTCTCTGTCTCTGTGTCTGTCTCTGTCYGTGTCTCTGTCTCTGTCTCTGTCTCTGTCTCTGTCTCTGTCTCTGTCTCTGTCTCTCTGTGTCTCTGTCTCTGTGTCTGTGTCTGTGTCTGTGTGTCTGTGTCTCTGTGTCTCTGTGTCTCTGTGTCTCTGTCTCTGTCTCTGTCTCTGTCTCTGTGTCTCTGTCTCTGTCTGTCTCTGTCTCTGTCTCTGTCTCTGTCCCTGTCCCTGTCCCTGTCCCTGTCCCTGTCCCTGTCTCTGTCCCTGTCTCTGTCTGTTTGTCTGTCTGTTTGTCTGTCTGTGTCTCTCTGTCTCTGTCTCTGTCTCTGTCTCTGTCTCTGTGTCTGTGTCTGTGTCTGTGTCTGTGTCTGTGTCTGTGTCTGTCTGTCTCTGTGTCTGTGTCTGTGTCTGTGTCTGTCTCTGTCTCTGTCTCTGTCTCTGTCTCTGTCCATGTCCCTGCATCTGCCTCTGCCTCTGTCTCTGCCTCTGCCTCTGCCTCTGCCTCTGCCTCTGTCTCTGTCTCTGTCTCTGTCTCTGTCTCTGTCTCTGTCTCTGTCTCTGTCTCTGTCTCTCCCCCTCTCGTTCTCTCTCTCACCTTTAAACTTGAAAGGCAGGGTCCTCATCCTGCACCTTTCTCCTGGATGTCACTGCTGTCCATTGCTAGTCCAGTAAATCTGACATCATCTATTGCGCACTAAAGCTATTGTACCAGATGTAGGCTGTCCGTATTGCCCGTACGGATAACATGAATGGGCGTCCGACCAGACATGTAGTTTGGGTTGAAAAGAAAATAATGAAAAAACAACGCAAGGTCTTCCCTTGTGTGCTGCAATGCCTAGAGGCGCCAAAGGATGATGGTGCTGATTCTGCCCAAGGCACAGCAACGTTTCTTGAAGTGCTGCTTCTGCCCAAGGCAAGACAGTGTGCTGTTTCTTCCCAGGACGAGGTGTGCATCTTTTTGCCCGCACTGCTCAGGGGAAGATTGCGTGCTGTTTTCACCCAAGGGAAGATTGTGTGCTGCTTCGCCCAAAATTTCTTGTACTTGAAATCTCATCTTCTTTTTTCTTTTTCTAATTGGATCTCAGATTTTGTTAGACCTCCATGTTTCAGGGCTGGTCATACACTGCTGAGACTTCCTTTTATTGCGGGGGAGCAATACCTTTTGGCACCCGGGTCTAGCGCCCCACAAAATTTAACATTTGGAAAGGCCTTCTTATTGCCACCTTCGCCATGTGGAGGGAGAAGGAAAGGACCGAAAAAAAGGAGGGGTTGGCACAACTTGCACAGTTTTTGTGTCGAGGTGACTGCCATCACTCGCAGTGACGTGGTGTGAAGTCCCTTATCAGACACTCGAATGGGTCATTGATTTGTCAAGTTACAATGAGGGAAACATTTCTGGTGTTGGTGCATCTTATAGTTCATACAGTTCATTACTTCATCGGGCATGCAAAGCTGTGAGAACAAATGGTAAACAGATGGGATACAGTAAATAAGGGACGGCGCAAAGTGATGAGCAGTTGTGCAGAGTTACAACATCGACCAGGCATTGCAGGCAGTCTTTTTTTTTGGGGGGGGGAAGTCTTCGACATTGATGCACAAGCGAATTCTCTGGGTGGCCCTGGTACGCACCCCGGGCGGTGCATTGCACGGCCAACAAGGCATGTGGAAGGCCGATGTGCCGGAAGTCCGGAAACCTGGACAGCCTGGGCCACAGACATATCGGTAGACATCTGGGTACCGATGTCTGTGGCCAGATGTCCTGGTAGCTTAGCACTAAAGCGATAGCACATATCCCCTTCTGGATCGAGTTTGATTACAAGGTGCGTCACCTCCCTTCGGGAAGCACTCTTCCCTTCTGTAGGGGATCGGTATGCATAGGTAGCCTGATGGGCGATAGGACCAATTTGAAAACAATCAGTGAGATGAGGCCCTCTTCCAAAGTCACCTAGCGAATATCCGACCTTCCTGCGCAAGTCATAATCAGTGCATGATTGGCCCAGGGATGAGGGGGAGCGGGGTAGGATGTTTGCAGCTTCTTGTTCTTGTTCTTGTTCTTGTTCTTGTTCTTGTTCTTGTTCTTGTTCTTGTTCTTCACTGTCTCCTGCTTTGCTGTCTTCTTCTTTGCCGTCTTCTTCTTCTTCTTCTTTGTCTTCGTCTTCGTCTTCGTCTTCGTCTTCGTCTTCGTCTTCGTCGTCGTCATCGTCATCGTCGTCGGATTTGCCGTCGTCATAATCTTCTTCTTCGCCATCTTCTTCTCCTCGTTCATCGCCGCCATGTCTTCTTCTTCTTCTTCTTCTTCTTCTTCTTCTTCTTCTTTGCCTGCTTCTGTTTCTGCTTCTGCCACTGCTGCTGCTCTGGCAGGGCAGAAAGTTGACCACAAAACTAATTTTCTCGATTCTCTGCCAATATCAATTAACTACTCTCAATTCTTTGCCCCAGCAAACTACCAAACCTCCCTCCGATGCATCGGTGGACCTCAACATGGCCCTCTCCTCCTCAACTTCCTCTTTATGATGACTATTTCATACTGGGGCGAAAAGGCATTGTGGTGGGCTGGGGTTGGGGGTTGATGGTTGAGGATGGGGAGTGATAATGTCAGATTCCGCATGCTCTGGGGGTTGGTTATTTATTTATTCTTTTTATTTAAAAAAAAACACACAACCCGAGCGGAGCAGGCACCACTAGCACTGCCGGGGAGACTCCATCTATTGGTGGGGGGCAGCACCTGCTGGAACGCGGGTTCAGCATCCCTGGACATTGTAGTTGTTTGTGTGAATAGACATGCAATTGTATGACAGCAAGCTACTGGGCTCACCTAAAAAGACTGAAGCTTGGCAGGTAGAGCTACAGAGCAGCCTGAGTTGCTGGCCTACCTGACAGTCTAAGGTAAGTGATAGTATATACATAGATCTCCTGGCTGCTACTAGGAGAATTGGTAACCGATTCTAAGTAATGTTCTGCTACACCCCATTCATCTAGCAAACGGCCCCTTTCTGGGGATGGGGAATTGCGTATTAAAACGTTGAAAAGGAAAACCGAAGGAGCTTGAGCTCCTCCCTGGGCGTGCTGGTGTTGCAGGCTGGGCATGTACTGTCTCTTATACACATCTAGATGTGTATAAGAGACAGGCTGTCCCCCCTGCCCCTCTCCCCCTTGCCCCCTTCCTTGTAGGTCTTGCATCCTCGCCATATCTGTGCATTTAACACCCTTCTCCTCTAAACCACTGCTGCCTGGCATGCCTTCTGGTTATCACGCCAGTGGACATGGGCGCTGTGGGTTTGGTTGGTCTGTTGGAACTTTTAAGCCTCCAGTTCCTGGTAGGCCTGATCCTCTGACTGTTCGGATGTGAGGAGTTGGCCAACAATTTGGCATTCGTGGTTTATGGTTTCTTCCTCCTTATGAACAGTTTGAACATTCAAATGACGTACGCAAACGAAACTAACATAGTATACTAAAAAAATGAATTTGTCTTTTGTGGTTTTGCAGTTCAACAGGACGAGAAACAACGTGCTAGTTGGCATTTGCGATCTGGATTTGAAGTTTATACCCTCGAAAGAGGTCAGTAGCTGAAAACTGATGCGGGGGAAGAAGAGGGAAAAAAAAGGTAATAAAGAAAGGTGAAAAAGAGGGGACGAAAGAATTGAAAATGCCATATTTGAATATTTCCTGAATCTACTGCCTTCTTTGCCCCTCTTTTGAAAGAAGGTACTTTGGACACTTTTTGTCTTTTGGAAGCAGGGTAGTGTTTTTCTTTGGATGTACTTATCATTGGAATGCATTTGTACTACACTTCACTATTGACGCCGATACGTTTGTGTCAGGTGTAGCCTGGCAGAGGAATTATTTCATTTATCTGCTACCTGTAGAGTTTTTCATCCGGTGTGGGTGAGTGATAATCTGCTTTGATTTTCTTCACGGGTAACTTGAGGGCAGTGGTTGGTGCCCACCTCAGGGTATCAGTTGTCGGGGCAGTCGTTGATGCTTAACCACGCCAGGGTTGATAGCAAACTTCAGAAATCAAACAGCATCATACAGATGAGACCAGATAGTCATGACCTCGAACCATTAGCAGAATTGCATCACGAGTTTCAACAAATAAGAGCACACCAAAAGCTCATAATTGACAGTGCTGGAATAGTCTCATCATCATCAACGAAGAACCAATGTTGGTATCCTATCTGGCGCTCGGTGCCCAGACTACAAATGGCAGATCCTATCTAGCCTACTCTACAATGCCGCTGATGACGTCAACAACTCCCCGAAGTACGAGCAGATCTCGGACAATGCCGTACGCTTCAAGCACCAGGTATGTCTCTCGTATCACTCACAACCTCGTTCCCCAACTCACAGATGCCACATGCACCCAAGGACCACCATGCGCCCCATCCAGCATACAGCAGCGCAGCTCGGCTATGGCTGCCTGCTCCTTCAAGCTCACCCGTGAGCGCGTGAGCCTGGCTCGGAATAACGCAGCAGCACTGGCGCAGAAAGCAGCCAGTGCCCGAATACCATCTGCATGGGCTGGCCCTTTCCTATATGGAAGTGGTCAGCCTGCGTGTGTGCAGCCTGGCTGCGCTGGGCCCCTGCCCAGAAGCTTCCGGTAGGCCCAGGGAGGCTGAGCCTCAGAACAAACGAATCAGCCCCAGGGTCACCGATGGTTACCCGTGCCCAACTGCCCAGGGCCTGACTCAGATACATTTGATAAAAGGAGACCAGGGCCTGGGCGCTTTCAACCAACTGGCGCTGTGCAACTGCGTGAATTTTCCCCCAGCTGTGAAGTAGTCCAAAATAGGCTTCCTGTCGTCTGTCGAGCCTGCCTTCACTTAGGGCGGCCGACGCTGTTGCAAATAGGGGCCCAGTAGGGCTTATCGAGGCCTTGCGCCTCGCATTCCCTCCTCCATACTTCGCTAGTCCTCTGAGAAGTTCAGTCTTCGATAATCTGGCACTTTCCTTTCTGTAGAGACTTCTCATAGTGAGCGCGGTCTGCATCAGTTCTTCCCTTGTGAACCACCTATCCTCCTTTGGATCAGTGTGATGCCTGCACCGAACTCGGTACTGCAGCTTCGGTTTTGGAGGACGTCCCATGCCTGTCGGTCTTGGAACTGGCATCTCTTTTTGATCCACGATTTCATCAATATCGACCTCTCCATCCATGGTTGGGGGCAGCATTGAGCGTCGCGAAGGGAACTGGTCAGTTTCCTCGAATGGTGCAAGCTTAGAGGCGTGAAAAACAGGGTAAGTGCGAAGGTGTCCAGGGATCCGGATGACATATGAGGGTCCGTCTGGTTCATCACCAACTACATCCAAAACTTCCCATGGTCCAAAGTACTATGGCATGAGCTTGCGGGAAATCCCGTGCTCCTGTCCCAGTTCAGAGGCCTTGACCCAAACCCTGTCCACTACCTGAAACGTAGATGGGCGGCGGTGCTTGTTCTCAGATTCGATCATCGCCGCCTGCACTTTGTGCATGCATGTGCGTCTCATATCTATAGGCGAATTCCAAAGTGCCTGGACTTGCAGTAGTCTGGTTCTCAGGTAGCAGAAAGTCAAGGGGAAGTCTGGGTTTGAATGTTAGAAGTAGGCTGTTAGGACTTACTCCTGTGGCACTATGAACAACATTGTTATACAGGCTGGCGATGAGAGCAAGCTTCTCATCCCAGTCCACTTGATTAGGCTTAATGTAGTGCCTGAGCAAGTGTTGAACGACACGGTTCATTTGCTCTGCCTGTCCATTTGCCTCTGGGTGATTTCTAGAAGTCATCTGCAGCTGTGTACCCTGTTCTGCAGCTGCAGCCTTCCACAACTCACTTGTGAATCGGACATCCCTGTCACTAACAATAGACTTTGGAAGCCCAAAGTCTCTGACCCAGTTCTCTTTGAAGAGTCTAATCACATACTCGGTCTTCGCTGTCTCTGGCATTGCAACTAACCTCGCGTACTTACTAAAT